CCAGCACTGTTCAATAGAACTATAACATGAGCCACATGTGTAATTTACATTTTTGTGAAGCCACAATAAAAATATAACATGAAATAGGAAATTATTTTTAGTAATGAATTTTATTTAACCCAGAACATCCTAACTATAATTTCGACATGTAATGCAGATAAAAGTGTTAATAAGCTATGTTACATTGCTTTTTGTTTCCTTTGGTACCAAGACTTCACAATATGGTGTGCATTTCACATGTATAGGATGCCTCAGTTTGGACTAGCCATGTTTCAAGTGCTCTAGCCACATGCAGTTAGTGGCCACCATCTTGGACAGCATAAGTTTAGATTGCCAAGGAATGAGAAACGTGGTTTATTTCTTCCAAAGAAAACAAAACACTATCCTGAAAAAAAATTAATGAGAGTTGACTGCAGAAGGTTTCAATGCATGAGCCTGATTTTAGCCTTAGATTGCTTGCAAAGTTTTGTCTTTTTAAAATGACCATCTGTAGCTAGGCAGGTTAAAGAATCTCCCTAAAGGAGATTACTCCCTTTAAGCTTCAGGGTACTGTATAGCAATGAAGATCTGTTAGGTTTTCAGGCTGCTATAAATGAAAACAAGGGTTTGAGAAGACTTTGGCTAAGATTTGATACCATATAAGAAAAGCACTGAGGCCATGCGCAGTGGCTCACGCCCATAATCCCAGCACTTTGGGAGGCCGAGGTGGGTGGATCACCTGAGGTTAGGAGTTTGAGACCAGCCTGGCCAACCAGGTGAAACCCGTCTCTACTGAAAATACAAAAATTAGCTGGGTGGCGTGCGCCTGTAATCCTAGCTACTTGGGAGGCTGAGGCAGAAGAATCTCTTAAACCTGGGAGGCAGAGTCTGCAGTGAGCCAAGATTGCGCCATTGCACTCCAGCCTGGGCAACTGAGCAAGACTCTGTCTTCAAAAACAGAAAGAAAAGAAAAGCACTAAGATACTGGTATAGAAATGAAGGTAATGCCTACCCCCACCATGGAATCACACTTAAAAGTTGTTAAACATGTTGAAACAGTTTTTTGTTTGTTTTTGTTTTGTTTTGTTTTGTTTTTTGAGATGGAGTCTTGCTATATTGCCCAGGCTGCAGTGCAGTGGCACACTCTCAGCTCACCGAAACCTCTGTCTCCCAGGTTCAAATGATTCTCCTGCCTCATCCTCCTGAGTAGCTGGGATTAGAGGCACGTGCCACCTTGCCCGGCTAATTTTTGTATTTTTGGTAGAGACGGGTTTCACCATGTTGGTGAGGCTGGTCTCGAACTCCTGACCTCATAATCTGCCTGCCTCTGCCCCCAAAGTACTGGGATTACAGGCATGAGCCACCACGCCTGGTCTTTTTCTGTTTGTAATATAGTCTGATTTTCTTGGTGAATAAAAGATACTAGAAACAGTTTATCAAATTCTTAAAAAGATTTTTTTGAATGTTGGCTATGTACAAAAGGCTGTGCTGTTTTCTGTGAGGTATCTGAAACTCAGTAAAACAAGGTTCCTGCCTTCTGAAAGCACTCAGTCTAATAGGAGCTAACCACACACATACACATCATCAAAAGCCATAACTTTTATTCTCCACTCCTCATTCTTCTCAGGTCTGATAATTTTGTATAAAGCAAATTGGCTGCTTCTCCAAAATTGGGTTTTATAAGTGGGGAAATCCAGATTTCTGCCAATTGTAGTTTCAGAAGCCTCAGATTTATGCAAATAGGTACAATTTTATATTTTCTTATTTTAAATCCAATTTCAGTAACACACCTGCCAGTTGCTTATTTTTGCTTTTTGAAGAACCTTAAGGGAGGAAAGCCGCTTTTTTGTAATTCCCTGTAGTTCATTTCTCTTTAGCTGATGAGAAAAATGAAAGTCTGTAAGAAAGATGCACTTCAGTGTTTCCTAGAAAGTGTAAGTCACCTTCAATAGAAATTTATAGATAGGATCTCTTCATTTATATTTGTATGTAGTTAAAATTCAAGCTGATAATGTAGCTTGTCCTGAGCCCTCTTTATGCATTGGTATTTGGAGAGAGATTTGTTAATTCGCAGAGGGAGTCTTAAATCATTTTGTTGTTGTAGGGAGGAGATTTCCACATGAACTCCAGACGGCTAGAAACAGCAGTACTTGAGTGTTCTTAATAGGCTCATAGTTGCAAGAAAGCAACAGCTAAGAATGTATTTTATTGCATGCTTAATAACAGCTCCTTACTGTGTGGGTCTGTTACAGTGTGGTAGGAGATAAGATGAACAGGAATCCTTGTAAGGTTTACCCTGTGAGTTAAAATAGCATCTTGGAAGCACAAAAATCAATCTTTGGACACTTAGTCAATAAAAAGGATATCTCTCTCTCCTCTCTCTTCTTTCCTCTTTCCTCTTCTCTCTCCGCTCTCTCCTCTCCCTCCCTCTCTCCCTCCCTCTCCCTCCCCCTCTCCCCATTACATTTCTGTAAATAGGAATGTATCCAAAACAAAAAGCAAAGGGCTCTCATCAGTGTGATGGTGAGGCCCATGCAGAACATAGAAATTGGCAGTCTGACTGAATATGCACCACAGGACTTCCACCTTCTCCTGCTCTGCCACTATAGGCCCCTTCTGCTGGCTGCCATACTTGTTATTTCCTTTGTCTTAAAGCAGGGCAAACCTGTAGGAGTAGCAGTGGATGTAGTAATCTAATTTTATTTGATTTTGAGTTTTTAAAAAATTTTATAGATGCAAAACACAACTAACCTTAAGCGAAACCTTTTTCTGTTTGTTGGTTTATCAGAACAAGAAATTGGACTCTCAGGATTTATAGTTAAAGAAGGGAGCAAACCCATTTTAATCATGCATATTTTTCAGGATGATCCATTGGTGCTGAATGAGATCAGAGAAGACCTTCGAGTAGAGTGTTCAAAGTTTGGACAAATTAGGAAGCTCCTTCTCTTTGATGTAAGTTCATGGCTTGGGCATATGGATCCTAAAGCAATCATTCCTCCACCTTAGTTAAGTTCTTCCCAGATGTGTGAGTGCACCCCTGAATTTTACGTTAATGTTTTTATATAGTAGTCCACTGTTGTGGTAATCATCTATTAGCAGTAATTAGATGGACATGGATTACAAGTCAAGCACAGCTTTGATAGATTTGGTATGCCTTGCTTATTTTCCGTCATTACCCTAGAGTATGAGATCAGGTGAAAGAAGGTACAAGAAAAATGTATGAGATCTCTGGTTCCTGATAAGTCACGTTTTCCACTCTTTGTGAATTATACTTGTCCTCCATATTTGAAACAATCAGGAAAAATATTCTGTGTATTTCCTCTTCTCACCCCTTTTTTTTACTTCCATATTTGACACCCAATAATTAAGAGTCAGCATTTATTGCTTGTGTATAACAAGCTACTTTACATGTTACTTCATTTAATCCTCAAACCCCTTTGAGGCAGGTGAGCACTATTATACCCATTTTACAGATGGGGAAGCTGACACTTTAGAAATTGAGCACCTTGTCCAAGGTTATTCATCTGGTAACTGACAGAGCCAGGATTTAATCCCAGGGCAATATGACTTCAGAGTTTACACTTTTAACAATTATACTGTCCTGCTTCTCATTAGACAGGGATGTCAGCAGAAACATTTCCAAGGACACTGTGCTTGGTTCTTGCTAGGTAAGATTAAGGTAAAGGAGCAGCTGACTGCATGTCACTGGCTGGGATAAAAGGGAAGAAAGACTTCATACGTAAAGTCTTTTACTTCAAAGTATCAGAGAGAACACTACTACTTACCTGCTTTGTGAAATGTATTGTTTTATCTTTTATCATTCACTCCTTTTTTTTCTTATCTTTCTAGAGACACCCAGATGGTGTGGCCTCTGTGTCCTTTCGGGATCCAGAGGAAGCTGATTATTGTATTCAAACTCTGGATGGAAGATGGTTTGGTGGCCGTCAAATCACTGCCCAGGCATGGGATGGGACTACCGATTATCAGGTAAATTCTGCAGCTTGTCAAGGGCACACACATTGTTTCATTACCAACAAATACTGATCCTTCAGATTTAAGCTTTGGGTCTGGTTTAATCTATTTAACGTAACAATGCTTCTTTTATTTTTACTTATACGTTTTTAAATTTTTTATTCTTCTTCTTTCAATACTGCTTTTAAATAACATTTTGCATTCAGAAGATAGAGAAATGTTTGAGTCTTTCAGTTTGTAAGTCTGAAAGTTTGACGCTTGTTCAGAAAAGTAATAAGAAAAGAACACATTCAACCAAATATTTCTCTTCCTTTGTACGCTGTCAAGTATGGACAGAGCTCAAATTCTAACTTTTTAAGAGATGAGACATTTCTGTAGTACTGTGATATTTGGCCTTTATTTAAGTGATCTTTAAGGTCAACTCTAGTAAGTCAAGATTTAAGGTCAACTCTCACAAATCAAGTTGTGAAAACTGAAGACAGGGTATTGCTTTCATTTCCTAAGAAGAGATGCTTTATAAAATTAAGGTTGTTTCATCAATATTAGAAATGTTCAGAGAAGTAACTTTTTGCCTAAAACTTATTTTAATGGCAGTCTCCATTTATCCACAGGTGGAAGAAACCTCAAGAGAAAGGGAGGAAAGGCTGAGAGGATGGGAGGCTTTCCTCAATGCTCCTGAGTCCAACAGAGGCCTTAGACGCTCAGATTCTGTCTCTGCTTCGGCAAGGGCAGGGCCTTCTAGAGCAAGGCATTTTTCAGAGCACCCCAGCACATCTAAAATGAATGCTCACGAAGCTGCAACTAGAATGGCGTTTGAAGAACCTATAGATGAGAAGAAGTTTGAAAAGACAGAAGACGGGGGAGAATTTGAAGAAGATGCTTCTGAAAACAATGCTAAAGAAGGTGGCCCCCAAAACGAGGCTGAAGAAGGCTGCACTGAGAAAGAATCTGAAGGCGGCTGCCCCCAAAAAGAGTGTGAAGACGGCAGTCCCATAAGAGGATCTGAAGAGGGTATTCCTAAAAAAGAGTCAAAAAAGAAGACACTCAAAAATGATTGTGAAGAGAATGGCCTTGGAAAAGAATCTGAAGATGACCCCAACAAGGAGTCTGAAGAGGAGGCTGGACCCAAAAAAGAGTCTGAAGAAGATGACTCAGAGAAAGAATCTGATGAAGACTGCTCTGAAAAACAGTCTGAAGATGGCTCTGAAAGAGAATTTGAAGAAAATGGTCTCGAGAAAGATTTGGATGAGGATGGCTCTGAAAAGGAGCTTCCTGAAAATGTTCTTGACAAAGAGTTAGAAGAAAATGACTCCGAAAACTCCGAATTTGAAGATGATGGCTCTGAAAAAGTGTTAGATGAGGAAGGCTCTGAAAGTGAGTTTGATGAAAATTCAGATGAAAAGGAAGAAGAGGGGGATACATATGAAAAAGTATTTGATGATGAGTCCAATGAGAAAGAGGATGAAGAATATGCAGATGAAAAGGGACTTAAAGCTGCTGATAAAAAGGAAGAAGAAGGTGATGCGGATGAAAAGCTGTTTGAAGAGTCAGACAAGGAAGATGAAGATGCAGATGGAAAGGAAGATGAAGATGCTGACGAAAAGTTATTCGAAGATGATGATTCCAACGAGAAGTTGTTTGATGAGGAGGAAGATTCCAATGAGAAGTTGTTTGACGATTCTGATGAGAGGGGGACTTTGGGTGGTTTTGGGAGTGTTGAAGAAGGGCCCCTATCCACTGGCAGCAGCTTTATTCTCAGTAGTGATGATGATGATATTTAATCCCTTAAACTTGCTTCTTAGGGAGAGTCCTCCATCTACATTTGCCTGTGCTTCAGGGTAATTACTAGTAGTGTTACATGAACATGTGCATAGTGGTAGGATGCCATCAGATTAATACATTGAAGTTTTTCATTGTTACCTGTACCTAATGGTTTTAAATATATGTTAATTGACTGTTCAGTCATAATGTCATAGTTACAATGCAAGTAAACTCGATACTTGTTCTTTTGTCAGATTTGTTAAATGCATGCAGAATAATATTTTTAAAAGGATTGAAGTTTGTGATATTCATCAATAAAAGTTGGTAATATGCAGAAACTGAAAATTCAACTTGAGTTAAATTATATTTTAAATTCTTGATACTGCTTTATTTATACTGAGGGTTGGCATTTCTGAGGACTTGAATCCTTTGGAGTGTCTTTGCTTCCTACTGGTATTGGCATGTGTGTCCCCATTTCCTCTCTATAAACCAGAACACATTCCTAAACTCAGAAAGCAGGTAAATAACCCTCTGGATTTTTTTTCTGCCTAGTCCTTGCAAATTAACTTTTGTTTTCTACCCTCTTTCCATTAAAATTGACTCTTATATGTGCAAAAGTGAACTCCCTGTGGTCCACAGCTCCCATTATTAGAAATCTAGAGAAATAGATTAGAATTCTACCTTGTACTGTTAGCCTCTTTGGGCCCCTTTAGAAGTTAATTCAAGTTAGAGGACTTCTTCCCAGAAAAAAATGTACACACTATGCTACACAACTTGGGTGTAGTTTGGAGAGGTTCATGGCTGCCCTAAAGTTTAAGAACTTCATGTATGCTTCAGTTGTTCATTTTTTAGAATCATAGTGCCTAGCACTGTGCAAAGTTGTGTTGTCCCAATAAAACTGTGAGTCTTTCTTGATTGTACTTTCCAAAGTCAGTATTGATAAATGTACTTCTGGTGTAGCATTAAGAAGTTATTCTCAGAAATTAGAAGCATTAAACTGCATTTATTATCGTATCAATAAGTGTCACTCTCTAGATAAGAGTTCCTATACTTCAAGTCAATTTTTCAGAATTTTTTAGTTGATGTCTAGGATTTCATAAAATCAAGATTTTCACCAGGGATGTGAAAGTTAAGTATAGAAAAATTGCAAACCAAAATAGTAATTTCCTTTAAAGATAAGCCAGAGGCATTTAAACTTGAGTTTATTGGAAAATTAGTTTTCTAAATGAAAAGAATGCTTTGCCTTCCATACACAGTGGTTAGGACACATAACTCTACAACATAAATTCGCTCTGAGACCATTAGGAGAATTTGTTTCATTCTTTATAATTTTGGAAATCCAGAATTTCTCAAAAGAATATACTATTTAGTCTGTTTTAGGTAAAGTAGTAACCATTGCCTATTAAAGACTTTCTGCCACAATTTTGGGACAGAAAATGCATTAAAAACAGTAAACTTTATTTTGGGGGGTTTTGAATAAAGTCATTGCCGCACCTGGCAGGTTAACCATCTTCTGTGTGAACTCGCGTGTGTGTTTGCATGTGTGTGTGAATGGATTTCAGTTACGCAATACTGTCCCGAATATTTTTATTTCAATTTGGTTGATATCATATACTCAGGTTCTTTTCACATAAACACACTAGAAGTGAAAAATCACAAACAGCTGTAAAATGGCAATTTATGAGATAAAGTCATAAAGCACACACATAGCTACCTTTGCATTAATCAGATTTTATTAGTCCTGAAAACTGAATTTACTGTGACGCAAGTATACATTCTATTATCAAAAGAAAAATGGTGTGTAGGGGAATGGATTTTAAGCCCAGCAATGTTGAACTACCACCTGATAACTACTAAGTTTAGTGCTCCTTACAGCTATAATTTACACAAAATATTAAATAATGCATTCAATCCCAAATGCATAAAGCAGAAATGGCTTCAGGCATACCTTTGAATGGCTTCAATGCCCTGCTGTCTGAGTCCACAAGTACCTTGTACAAGAACAAACATGAAACTTTATGTTAGAAAAAAATATTTCTAATCTTTGCAATATTAATGAAATATTGAAATGATTATTGCTTTCTACAAAAGAAGTGTAATAAGGGCAAAATTGGAGTAACCTAAGTATCTGTTTCCCTTCTCAAGTTGTAGTAGCTCGGGGCTCTTTCTGAAGCCCTGCAGAGCCAAATCAGTTCATTTGGAAGCTACTACCTCTTCCTTTTCAGAGTATAATCTATTTTCCTGATGTAAATTATTTAGTCATTTCTGAAGCTTGGCAAGGAGGTAGGGATTAGCTAATATTCTGATTATACTTTTCTCAATCATGTGAATGTGGTTTTTTTTTTTTTTTTTGAAAAATAAACCAAACATTTCCACGTAATGCAGAGAAGTGCTCTTAATTAGTTTGAACAAAGCCATGGCCTGGAGAACAATGGAAGGCTCATAAATTTGCCCTTTGTGAATATTTGTAAATATTTTTGTAGATTTTTCTTTATTGAGTCTCTTTCAGATACAAGCTGTATGCCTTTCTTTGGATGGTAACTTCATTTGAAATCAGTTTGCTCAAATGATTTTTCTTCTGACCACACTTCATTTACATGATGGGCTTTGTGTATATCTTCCTAGAACTTCCCTGACAGAAGAAAAAAATGTTAAAATTATTCCCTTCTAAAATCACAAACTGATACTGCAGATAGCCTGAATTCCTGGATGCCAGTTATTACGGGGGACGTTTGCTTGAGAAAAAGACTTCGTAGTATAAAGTTGACTTTTAGCTATTCAGAGCCCCACAGGTTTGTTTTGCTTTGCATTTGAAACCAGGAAGATACTGCTGTTATGGTATGCTGATGCGTTATACTCAAATAGCACAAACAGGTTGGCTGTGTTTATATTTCAGTTATCTGTGAAACTTCAAGCCTGTGCTATTGAGATGCGCTGGTCGTCCCAGGCTAGATAAAGAAAGCTAGGCCAGCAGTGGAGCACAAAGGTGGCTTTTTTGCTTCAAGTGTTCTACTTTTTGCACTGCTTCTTAATGTTAAATAGTAGTGATAGTATTAGAAGGGTCAGGCTCTAAGAATAAAACACCTGTTGATTTGCTGTTTTTCAGGTTTATAATAGAAATTAGGCTTAAATAATGATAAACCTGCAACATCTTCATGTAAACATTTCTAGATTCGACTGTGTGTCTGACTTAAAAGTTTGAAAATGTGATTATCTTGACTCCTTTTTTCTTCTTTCTTGTTTTTATACTACCTTTTAAATAAACAGCATAAACGTCATTTTTTAGGTGATACTTAAGAAATTAGAGATTAGGTTAATAACGTGTACAGCACCTGGATGCTTTTAATGTCACATTTCTCCGGGAATATATTATATTGAAGTATTAGTAGTATTAGTCTATTGATTTAGCATATTTACACTTAACTATAGCATCTATTTAATGTGGTTCAGTCAATTAGCAAGTTATGTATGTACCCAATAATATGCTAGATGAAATGAGGCAGTGAAGAAGAAAGGCAGCATTAGACATGGACCCTCCTCGAATGGCAATTGTAATGTCTAGATTGAGACAAAGCAGCCAAAAAACAAAAGCCATCAATAGCACTTCTAGAGCCTGGAGCAGTGCCTGGCACATAGCAGGGGTTCAATAAATATTTGTTAAAAAAATTAATTTATCCCATGGATAGTCTTACACACATATTCATTTGAAGAGGTTCATTTATGTCACTACCACCTTGTCATCGTTCTTGTTGATTTCAATATCAAGGTTATTGATTCTGTTCTTCCCCTAGTCTTTTCACCTCAGCACCCCAACTCTTCAAACCAGAAATCTAGGAATCATTCTTGATTTTTTCTCTTTCACCACCCCCGCCCCATTACATCCATTTCCTGTTGGCTCAAACTCCAAATATTTCCCACATCTGAATATTTCCCATCTCTACTTCGACCATGTTAGTATGAACCACCATCATCTCTCATCTACTTGCCTAAAAAAGCCTCCAAGATGACTCCTCACTTGTACTCTTGTCCTCTTCCAAATGATTTATACAACAGCCCCGGAGATTTAAAAAAATCATTGCCCCAAATGCCCTGATGGCTTTCTATTACAATGCTTTAATAGTACTTAAAATCCAAACTCCCTCCTATAGCCTGCCCACAAGGCCCTGAATGATTTTGCCCCTGCCTGCCTCTCCAGATTAATCTGAAAACTTTGCCTAGTCCACCACTCTTCAGTCACACAGGGATTATTTCAGTCTCCCACGTCTACCTCAGGACCTTTGCACATACATTCACCTGGGATGCTCTTTTCCCAGCCAAGCTGGGCCTTTCTCATCTTTCAGACTGCTTCATTATTACTTACTTAGAAATCCTCACTATGATAACCCATCCCTCCTCCCCATGCAAATCTCCCTTGATGCTATTACTGAAGCACCTTCTCAGAACCAGTATTACACTCTGAGATTATCTTGTTTGTTTACTTGTCATCCCCTTGCTCCTCCTTCCACCATACTAGCAGCATGCAAGCCCAAACAGCCAGGACTTTGTCCCAGTCTCTGCTGTAACTCCAGTGCCGGAATAGTGACTGGCACATAATTGAAAACCTTTTTTAAAAAAAGATTGAGAGTAATCATCATGAATGTGTTGTATTCTTTTATGAGTTCAATCTTTTTAGAAGAATGTGAAGAATTTTGAGTAGGTCAGGGAAAAGGGAACAGTAACAGCTATTTCTAACATAAACCAATGAGATAAGATTTTGAAAAAACAAGGCTCACAGGTAGAGTTAGTCATTGAGGACAAAAAATTCAATTATTGCAGTTTTATTCTTCATAGGGAACTGATTTGAATGATAGCAAAAGTCTTGGCAAAATATATTAAGCTTTTGGATAGCTAACCACTAGGGTTTCTCAGTGGGGAGCTTATGGAATTCCTCATTTCTCTTACTAGAGGTAAAAATGTCATTCTTAAATGAACTATGTAAAATTTCTTTTGGAAAACCCCTTGGTTTGATTTCTAAAATGATTTGATTCTCTGACTTTCCTGCCCTCTTCTTCCCTGCCATTTTATTCTCTCTGTCTGCTCTGTAGACAACCAGAAATTTTACCAAAATCATGTCTTTACAAACTGGTTTAGATCCTTTGCAGCCTGACAACATTTATTTTCTCTATTCACTAGAAAAGTATGTACATGTTTGATTAAAATGAAGAAATAAGAGCTCAATGCAAATGCAAATGCTTCATTACTGCAGGAGAGTAGGCATTTGGGCCAATTGGCAATAAGACTATATTTCACTTATATATTTACCAATATTTTTGTTACAAATTTGGTGTTCTTAACACCAAGGTACT